GGGGGGGGGAGAGAGGAATTGTTATGTATCTAATTTTACGTTAAACATTAAACTGAAGGCATCTATTTCCTCAGTAGGCTACTTATTTCTGGCACGTTCAATTCACTATAATGTCGTTAACAGTTAACTAAGAGAATATCAATTTCAGTGAGAATAACCCAAGAATTGTGCCCAGTCCACGAGTTTCTGGAGTGCAATATACATTTTCGGACCCGAGTAGCTAATACCGATGTTCCTCATCTCCCCACGTTTTTTTGTGGAAACAAAGGTGAATTTGGTGCCTTGTGCCTCGTCAATAACAGGATTTTCTGATACTGCTGGAAAATGAACAAGTTTGTGTCCGTCTCTTAGGTTGAAAATGTCAATTTCTTCAAGAGTAGAAAATTCATGCTGTAGGAATCTGAGAATGGGTAGACATTCTCCTGCATCTAGGAATATAGCATGAAGGGAAAGTTTGCGGAGGTTTTGATGATAGTAGAGGAAACGCCTGATGCATTTGCCAGATACTGATGATACAGATTCAAGCGTTAGTTCTTTTAGATGAGACAGGCAACCTGTATATGACAGGCAGTTGATAAAGGAAGCTGTTTCGTCGCCAAGATCAAAATCGATTTGAAGCTTTTGTAGATTTTTTGTGTGTTGGATGAGCTGGAAAGCCCAGTCAACAATCAATGTTCGTTCCATTGCAAAGTTGAGACTGAGCTCCTGAAGATTGAACCATGCAGTGATAAATTCCGATTTCTGCAGGTTTGCATTGATGCGTTCAGTGACAAGGTAGTTTGCTCCTGCCCCTTGCCTAAAATCCAGGGAAAATGTCACCACAGGTATTCCTGTGTTAATGATGATGCAGAAAATCATTGTGATGGCATCACTGGGAGTCAGGAGGCTACCCTGCTCATCAGTCTCATATGCATTATTGCGAATCAACTGGAAAGACCTACAGTGGACTAGGCGCTGGAGTACATCTTGCCACTGTTGGATTCCTTGTTGTGGCATAGAAATATGACCTGAAGGGTGTCGACTCCACGAAATCCCATGCCCAAGAAGGTCAAGACCCTCGTCTGGTGCTTGTATTACCAATTTATGGACCAGTGGTGCTAGATTTGAATTCTGGGACACGCTTTCCAGCGTCTGCAAATTATTCAAAGAAAGATCTGTCTTCACCGTTCGAAGATAAGAGTGCCCAAAGCAACTTAGTGTACTCTCATAGACCCTTTTGCAGGTCAGTCGCAGGGAGCAAAATTCTGGAGCGTCTAAAAAAGTGGCAATCACTTGCACCAGTTCCAGGGGTAAATTGGCGATAGGAGATGAAAGGGGGCTCCTTTTGTGTTTGGAATGCCTCTTTATTTTGTGTAGTAAGCAACAGCCTTTCTGCAGAATCATCTTGAAATTAAGTGATTGATAAGATGTGTGAGGCTGCAGTGTTGCTGGGTTAATTCCAGCCTCCGAAGGATTCAGCCGCGGCCTGGCGTGGAGGAAAGCCCGTAGTCGTGGGAATACGCTCACATGATGCCAAGACGGTGGAAGCGAGGTCAAGAGGAAAATCGGGAGTCAACTATTCCGGCCCCCCGCGCGGGGGGCTACCTGTATTTAGACGATAGATGGTAGTTTAGCTAGAGGACAGGCAGTTCCGATCTTCCCGTCGTATGTCCCGCACTGGGACCAGGATTACCCGCTTCCGCCTCCAAGGAATCGTGGAAATACCCGACCCTTGATGTTAAATAGAAACACACACACACTAATGGTTGACCTGAGCAGCGAGGTCAGGAGATTCTTATAGTCGACGTGCGCACACATATTGTAGACTAAGCACTCAATCAGCTACGTACACGTACATACGTTCGATAGGCAATATAGCTCTACCTTCAGCTGGTCCTCTCCATATGGACCTCTGCTTGGTTTTACGTAGCTGTCAACCAGCAAACCAGGCGTATTGGTTTTTGAACGGAAAAGCAAGAACGCAGACAAGAAAGAATAAAGGGGTGCAAAGAAAAGTTAAGGGATGAGATAAAGAGTAGACATTGCCAAAACCCAACTTTGGGTCGAAGATTCCGACCCAAACCCAAATTTGCATAAAATGTTTCTTTTTTCATGCATGAAGACGATTATTCATCCCAATAAAATATGCTTGTTCAATGCTGTAACACCGTTTCTACTTTCTGTTCGAACTTCAAGTTGTTGACTTCCATATATGATGTACAACTTATAGCTGCCTGAGCATATGCATGAATGGATACAACTGTGATGATATGACCGGGGACTACAGCTATGCAGCCAGCATCCTTTGACAATGACCACCGCATACATGCGTTATACGCTGTGTGCTCCTTTTGTCTCTTTGAACTTTTTTCACAACGACCTTTGCCTTTGCGCTTAGTTAACGGCCGCCAGATTATGTACATAAGCGTATGCGCGATATTCCCAACAGCGCAAAATACCCGGCACGGTTGTCCCCAAAAGGTTCAATCAACTTTAGGTCGCAAAGCATAGAATTTGACCGGTAAAAGCTTCTTAGTAGTTTTGGGAAAACCCAACTGTAACTCTGACACGATCACATTCATCTCAGCATCCCTGAAAATGTTCCTGAACTTCGCATCTGTCCTGGTCACACTGCTATCCAATTCATCATACATGTCGTCGCCATTCGGGTCTGTTGAGAGATTCTCTTTGACTACCAAGATTCCAGTCGCAGTTAGGGCACCACGGCATCGTCTCACATACTCAATCAATTGCCAATCCTTTAAATGCCCCACACAGAACTGGGTCCAGATCAAGTCATACTTCTTCTCTGGATGCCAGTCTTCTAGACCGACTGTATAGATTGCATTGACCACTCCAGACTTCTTCAAGGTGCTCTCATGAAGCGCCCGGGTGAACTTTTCCACGGGCTCGACCGCATCAACAGTTTCACAAACTTGGCTCAGAAAGCCTTCTGTCACACGGCCGACTCCTGCACCGCAGTCGACTCCAGTTAATAGCTTCCCTTCGGTCGAGCACGTGGGCACAAGTCGTCTAGCCTTGGCTAAGAATAACTTAGATCCTCGTAAGTCAATTCTTGAGTACCATGGATAATCCCCCAAGGCCGCTAGCATACCGTTTGCTGTGGCGGGAACACTGTTCCAATACTCAATGGAAGCAGTAGGGTTTATGCGATTATCTAACGCAGAGGAGGCAGCATTATTGCGAGTCTGATCCTCGCTAGTTTCCTTGGACATGGTAGTGAAAGAGGGAGAGAAAATGATGTTTGTAGTACGATGTCTCAGAATTCTACATTGAACTGTGCGGTGGAGCCAACCATGAACATGACATAATCCATACGCGGCGTTGAAACTAACCATACTTGGTGTACACAGGTCGCATGAGCCGTGGACATAGCTCACCCGAGGTGCGCGAACAACCCAAGCGAGGTACACCCCAAACACGTGATGCCAAGGCCACTTATTAAGCAGGAACCGCCCAAGCGAGATATCTCGTTAGGTATTGTATTGAATCCAAACTTAACATTCTATTCTCCTCTCCGCGTGATGCAGGAGGACACCAACTACTTGCCAACTGCTTATTAACTGGTTGCTGCTATGGACTCAACCGAGCTTGCCGATCCTAATGAGTTCCTTATCTCAAGTTCAGCTACTTCAGTAGAGGAACCAAGTCAGCAAGATAACTGCTTAGCAACTGCTTCTACTCCAATAGTTATAGAAGCAGGTGAGGAGAGTGAAGCTACGCAGCAGGAGGAGGTAAGATGATTTTCCAAGTACTTGAGAAATGGTTGGCAAGCAGTTCCTAAATACTTATAGACTCCGACAATACTACCTGTCCCCCTTACCCAGGCCAAAAGCAACAACTCCCTTACTTCGCTTCATATTGAGTATATACAGGATCTCCCTGAGTACCCAGTATCTCATATATATGGATACACTTATGTAGTAGCAGTTGGGGATCGCTCACAGGAAGAGATGGAGAAACTAGTCCATGTCTAGGAACGGACTAGAGTAGGCACGGACTGAGGGGTAGGCACGGACCAGCCAGTAGGAATGGGTTCTGGGCGGAATCACCAAAAGGGTTCGCACATCTCAATGGACATATAAGACTGACTATTCACGGAATAAAACTCACTGAGCAAGCATGGAATTTGCTAGCAACCCACTTGGCCAAAGGGCCAATCTATTAGCACAAGAAAGACTACAATTTTATTGTGGACATGCTATCATTGAAATACACCACCTTGCATTTGAGAGTGATGCTATCCTTGGATCAAGGCCTCTTGACCATAGAAATGTGGAGAGACTCCAGAATTTGTTCGAACTCGAAGGGTGTGCCAACTTTGAGCCCGAGCACAGAGTGGCTGCTACTATAAGTGAGCATACTCTACAGAGAGGCCTTGCACATTCAGGAATCAGGAAAGAGAATCTATTCGATCAAGTCAACCCACCCAGACTAGCATTTATAGATGACATCCGCCTGGTTTGTGCATATGGAAAACACCGACCCAAAGCTGGAGAGTCCTTCAGAGAATACGAGTGGCTGGTTGAGCTATACTCATCCAGTAAGTATATATTTCAAATGGAGAGGCAACCCTAATGATGTTCCAGATATACCTCCTGATGCACTGGCCCAACTTCATGAGTAATCCTCCAAGGCTCCAACGCACAAAGCTTTAAAGATGGTGAAATATATAGAGTTTTGTGAAGTTATCAGTTTTCACAGAATGTTGCTCAGGAACAGAAATGGTGGGCAAGATTCAAATCTAATGATCAGTGAAAGGACTTCCATAGGCTTCAACGAAACAAGCTTCTTTGTGATGGCTTCGACAATTTGCTGCTATATATTGGGCTCTGGGACCCATTGAAAGCATACCACATTGAGCGGATTCTTGGACTCCGGTGCCATGTAGAATCTTGAGAGCCTGGCTGAAGAATCAATTATAGGATTTTGAGACAAGAGATCATAGCAAAGCAGCTAAGGATCCAGAAGTCCTCAAGAGAAAGCCCAAATAGGGTGGCATGGCCGGAAGCAACAACCAAGACTCAAAAGTCGCTGATCAGCTGGCGGACCACGCGTGAAGGGGCCTATTATTGCAATTGTAAGCAGCAACACGACATCAGGGGTTGATGTGGATAAGTCAATTTCCAAATGAAGTGACAGTAACAAGGTGTGTTTGTTTGACATCTGCGATAGCACTCGCATAAACGGATTCGCCTGAGTGACCCGTTCCAACTTTCGATCGAATTCATTGAATCGTTGTTTCAATTCTGAGTTCTTGCGCTTTAGATCGCCCAACTCTTGTAGCACCTCGAAGTTGATACGTTCTTGGTCTGCGAAATGTTGATTCATGGTCTCTCTCTCTTCCCACTCATTTTTGTCTTCAATTCGACGAGGCCATTCTGCATCTCTTGTAACGCACTTTTAGTTTCTTCGCTTCTGGGGAATGCCTCGATGCCTGCGTTATTCCCCGGGTGATGCTCGCATTGTGTGCTCGGCGTGTGCCTGGGACTTATGGCGGAAATGATGTGGGTAGACGTGATGGTCAGGCTTCTTCTGGTGTTCCCTTTCAGACAAGATAAGATTCGTCAAGGAACGTCGTACGGGGTATACTGTGGAATAGGTGATAGAAAACGATAGACTGATGCAAATAGCTTGAAAAGCTGTTAGGCAGCTAAAGTCAAACGTGATGGATTATGAAACACCTACCTCACCTATTGATCGCAAGTCATATCTGGTGAAGCAAAAGTAGCCTTTCAAACACTTCAATGCCATTTACCCTTCCACCCTGGTAAAGGGAAGTTCTATCTAACTAGCTAGTACTAACATATTTACCGTAGTAGAAGTAAAAATCATGCTCATGACGCCAGTAATCGTACGAACGAACACGCTAATACCTGAAACCAAACAATGCCTAATTGGTGACCCGCTGAAGTCCATGAAAGTATAAGAAACAAACGAAACGGCAAATCCGGTGCCTCTGAGGCTCAACAACCGAGACTCGACTTGAACGCCCACAACCCGTAACGAAAGATGAACCCGAGTCCTCACCACCGCAGCCCAGCGAAAAAGACATTCACCTAAGCCCGTCTCCTCCGCGACTCCTTTTCCAGCCGGCGCCTGCCAATATTTGGCGTCGACACAGTTGCTGCAGCGCAGCATTCCCTTAGGTCCGTTATCGAAGCAACCGAACGACCAAAAACCCAAATAACCAAAACAACCAAGAGCCCAAACAACCAAAAAAAGACCAAGCGCCAAGTAGCCAACGTAGAACATAACGGTGCCCCCGACACGACATGGATATTCAAATCTTGTGACCGGTCGAAGGAGTGAGGGAGACATGTGTCATCCCTATGCAATGGACCACCTTCTTCCGGAGCCCTTCTCAGCCCGCGTGATCGCAGCATTGAGCTCCAGTGTAGGGAATGGAGGGGAAGAGAGGTTGGTCACCTTCTTTGTCCAACCGTAGAAATCTTCTCGCAGGGGTTGCGGCGCATGGCCGTTGGCTTCCAGGGAGCAAAAATGTTTGATGGTCGCTAGTACGTGGTGATAGCCCCGGGCATGAAGCTCGATGGCCTTGTGGGGTGGTACGGCGTAAAGTGAGTCGTATGCCTCCGCGTCAAAACCGACACCACCAAGCACCGACATGGCGTCCATCACTGGATCGCCCTGGTGCGTGAGTATGTTCCCCACTTCGATCTTCCTTTGAGTTTCTGCTGACTTATTGCCCCACCGATCGCGGCGATATGTGAAGGGGAAACGAGCGCGGGTCTGTAGGCCGCGTACTGACAAACTGTAAAAATTGGTTGTTCTCGAGAAGTTGGCTGACTTTGTCATCGTATGCGTGAAACCTGCGCTCGTAATCCAAACTAGTACGACTCTGTTCGGCCAGATCCTGTAAGACTTCCGCAGTGAACGCCTTCTGGCTTGCGAGCTGGTGGCCGTCGGTGGCATTGGATGTTGTGAGTGCTTGTTTTAGATGGTTGACTTCGTCTCTGAGCTCGAGGATCATTCGCTCATTTTCCTCCTTTGCACGAAAAAGGTCAATACCCGCTTTATTCCCCACGAGGGGCTCGTTGGCAATGGTCTCCGCCGACTCGAAGCTTTGCAGTGCAGGCCAAAGGTCGACAGTGGTGTTCGGTAAATTCACGCAGGCAGGGATTTGGCGATATGCGATGAGGTGAGTACTAGTCTGTAAGGCATGGCGCTTTTAGCATCTTGAAGAACTTTTGCTTAGAGCAAGGAGTGCTCATACCATTGCGACGGCTATGCGGATTAGGTATGTGGGCATTCGAGTGGAGAGGATGGGACAATAATGATCAAAAAGATGATATATCAACGAGCGTAGTCTGATCAATAAGTGTATTCTAGTCAACGAACGGGGTCTGGTCAACGAGCGTAGACTGGCCTAAAGAGAACGAGGTGCGGCTTCTGGTATACGGAGTTATTATCTCATTGATACCTGCAGCCTGGCGCCTGGCGCCTATGAATCTCAATGTCACTTTTCAAAGAATAGCATACGGGGGGAAATAAAATAAAATAACCACCACCACCACCCGGCTGAGATTAATCCAACGGCATCTTCCACAACCCATCCCCCAAATAATGTCCATCATCCATAACAACCCCCTTCCCCTTACTCTTCATCTCCTCCGTCCCAACCTTGAGCGCTCCCACAAGACACGCATTCTCCTTCCCCTCCGCCCTAACCGCAACAATCACCCCCTGCTCCAACGCATGCTCCGCATCCGGTAACCGTCCACCGGGACTCGTAAGGCCAGGCGCCATTAGCGCGGCGCCAGAGAGCACGAAGCGGATTGCGCCGCGGTCGATTTGGATTGTCGGGAGGGCGGAGGGGTAGGCGTGGAGGAGTTTTAGGTGTGGGATTGGGGGGCCGTCTTGGGGTTGGTAGAAGAGGGGTTGGGAGTCGATTGTGTAGAGGGTGCATTTTTCGGGGCTGCATTTTATTATTGTATTAGCTTGTTGCGTCTTGGGGTATTTGTGGTAGGGGACAGACAGTTTAATAGAATCAAGCTGTGCCTTTTTCGGGAGGATGTCGTCAATGTACGGCTCGAAACCGGGGTATGAGTCGAGGAAGTTCTGGCGCAAGCCTCGCTGTACCGAGGACTTGACCTTTGATTTTGTGCTGGGGGCGATACTATTGCATTGTTAGCTGCTGCTTGTTTTGAGGGTTCTTGTTCGGTCGTCTGATTCGATCGTCTGGAAGACGAGGGGGTTCAACGCGAGGACCCTGAGGGATAGGAACGGGTTTGAGGGTTTCGCAAGCGCCGGAATAACGTATACTCACTCTTTTTTGAACATTTTGACCACAGAGAGCTTGATATAGCTGCTCAATTCTGGACTCTTGTCGTTGCGGAGTTTGCAGCGATACGGCTGCGCGTTTGGTCCGACGCGGCTGACGCGGGGAAGGGCTATGTTGGTCACGTGGACGACGTCACTGTTCTGCTACAGTTTGAGCTCTTTTACTATGAGTACAGGTCAGGCCCTGACGTAAAATAGACACACAGGAGGTCAGGTGAAAAGGTATTTGTACATCTTCATTTATCATTATATAGCCTAGGTCCGAGTGGGAATCATATATCAAAAGCCCGAACATAACAACTACATTTTATTTTATGAACCGGTTTAACCCTTGGCAGCACCGGCCTTGATGAGCAAGATATCACCGTCCTCTACGGGGTAATCCTTGCCCTTGGTCATGATCTTTCCGGCGGACTTGACGGCACCTTCATCACCGTACTCGCGCAGAGTGGTGTAGTTGTAGACAACAGCCTGGATGAAAGTCTTTTCAAAGTCTGTCGCGCTGTTAGTATATTGCATTCCGATAACGAGGATAAGGAAAGGAACATACCAGTGTGAATGACACCGGAGGCGGCTGGTGCCTTGAGACCCTTCCGGATAGTCCACTGGCGGACTTCATCCGCACCAGTGGTGAAGAAACTGGACAGGTTCAAAGCCTGGCGCATAGTGGTGATGACCTTGGGAAGACCAGACTTGGTGCTAAGCTTCTTGCACTCCTCCTCAGCGGCGGCGTCATCGGCCATGAGAGCCAGACGCTCCTCAAAGGAAGCGGAGATGGGAATCAAAGGACCGGGAGAGTTCTCCTTGATCCATTCGAACACCTTGGGAAGGTACTTGTTCTTCTGGCGAATGTAGTCCTTCTCGCTCAGGTTGACGAGGTAAACGATGGGCTTGGCAGTGAGAAGGAAGAGAGGGTTGATGACCTCGACCTGTATCCATGTTAGCATTGCCACAGCAAGACTAATGGATGCAAATGTGTAAAAAGAAACACATGACACTAATCAGACGGGACTTCATCTCATGTGACCTCTGGTTGGATTATAATATATATGAGGCCATCGACGAGCTGGGATTATCGAGCAAAGCTCTTATTCATCATGTAATGTCATGCGCGGAGAAGGGGAAGAAGAAAGAGGGAAATAATGAGAAGAACATACCTCTTTCGGGGCCCAGTCACCCTTGCGGATATCGTGACCCTCCTGCAACCACTCAAGCACTCGGGCCACGGTAGCCTCCTCCTCTCTGAGCTTCTTCATCTCCAAAGTCTGACCACCACGACGGGTCTGCTTTTTCAAGCTCTCAAGCGCCTTCTCGACAAACTCAATATCCTTGATCCGCAGCTCCTCGTTGATGATAGTCAGATCCCGAACGGGGTCGACATCACCCTCGACGTGAATAATCTCGGCATCATCGAAGCACCGAACGACCTGGAAGATGGCATCGACGGCACGGATGTGCGACAAGAAAGAGTTACCCAGACCGGCACCAGTCGAGGCACCACGGGTCAGACCGGCGATATCATACACAGTCAAGTTGGCGGGAACCACGGACTTGGGCTTGTAGTGGGAGCAGAGCCAGTCGAAGCGCTCATCAGGGACGACGACACGAGCTTCTTCAGGGTTGATGGTGGCAAAAGGGAAGTTGGCGGGGTTACCCAGCGACGACTTGGTGATGGCCTGGAAGAGTGTGGACTTGCCGACGTTGGCGAGACCAACCTGTCACAGTGTTAAATCACATTGCGATGTGAAAGATGTGTGTGAAAAGAAGAAGAAAAATTCTCAGGGGAAGCGAGAATTTATAGCTGGGAAGAAAATTTCGGCGGCAGGAAAAAAATGGCAAAAAAAGGTGGGGACGTGCTCACATACGATACCACTCTTCAGGTTGTTACCAGGTCGACCCAACAGGACCTTTTCTTGCACGGGAGCCTTCTTGGGGGGCATCTTCTTTTTCTTCTTGCTGCTATAAAAGCGACAAGAAAGAGTAATATAGGGGGTGGTGGTGGTGGTAGTAGTAGTAGAGAGGAAAGCACCAGCAGAGAGAAGAGGGGAACAAGCAGAACCAGCTGCCGATCGGAGAAGGACCAAAGCGGAGGGAGCCGTGATGTCGGCTGCCCACGTTACCAGGTGGGCAATAAGGGAATCCGGTGGAAATATACCGACTCTTGGGTCGTTATGACGGAATCCTCGAGTTTTTCGCGTGGAAAAGAAGAACTTGAACAGGGAAAAATTGAAGCCATCCCGAGTTTTGCGCTTCGGTTCGTGTGTGCTGCTCACCGCCCACGTGAGGGGGAAGCCCTAGCCGCATGGGGAAAGACAGCAAGACAAGATATAATACATTACTAACGAAAGCAAAGAAGCAAAGCCGACCACCCATCCTGTATATCGCATCTAACGCCAACCTTGTATAAATAAAACGACGGCCGACTTTATGTCTCCATGACATCGCCCGATTCCATCTCCTCATCGACCACTCCCAGTAGCTTCGCGTACGGAACCGTCACTCGTTGGAGATCCCGGTGTTTACCTGGAAACTTATTAGCCACAGCTCAGTAATTAGAAAAACGAAGAAAAACCCACCCAAGGCCAGTATAACCTCCTTCAATAACACCTCCCGTGGCCAGCCACACAGGGTATCCGAGCTCTCCTTCCAATTCCGGTCCTCCTTCTCATTGGCCTGCAGACGCGCTTGCGGTCCTGTCTCATCATCCTCCTCAAACAACCCTCCAAATAACCCCTTAAGCAGCTCTTCCACCTTCATTTTCAGCCCCTCAGCTCCAAGACGCTTGGCGTACATCGACATGTACAACCGGAACTCCTCCTTGGCCCCGAGTGAAAGGGCCGCTGCCAGACGGTTCTCCAGGTGAGCAATCGAAACGCTCGACTCGAAACTCTCGTAGCCTTCCCGTGACAGGAGAACCTTGATAAGTCGTTGCATGAAATATGCTCGACCACGGAGAAGCGTTTCGTTGGTCGTGTTGCGTTCCAGGAACGGGATGATACCGGCCGACACGGCCTTTCTCGCCTCCGGATCCTGTTGCGATTCTTTCAATTGCAGATTCCCGACGGGAGCTTCGGTGGTATTCCAGTACTGGCTACCAACCGCCCACCATGCTTCGGAAACCCGCTGCCAGTTGTACAAGGCGGGAGAGTATGCGTAGCCCTCGCCATTCGTCAGCGCAACCACAATCCGGCCTTCAGAGTTGATTCGTGCGTTGGTAATCGCCGGGGCTGCAGTTGGGTGTGTTCCCAAGGAGTGAAGTGCGGCGTCAAGAACCGGTTGTAGAGAAACAGGGGGATGAGGAGAGGAGAGATGCTCAACGTTCCAGACATAGCACATGCCCGCGGCCGAGATACAAAGGATCCAGGGTCCGTGGCACTCCAGGATAACAGGCTGTGCCTCCAGTACAAGAGCACTAACTAGACGGCGACCAGCTGGAGTCCAAAGATAGACTGATCCATCTTCACAAGCTGCCGCCCACATGCTCTGGTTTCCTGTCACCAGGAGCACGCTGCGGGGTAGGAAGTCTTGCCATAGTGGCTGCTCCCCTCGGAACAATGTTAGACGAACAGGCTCCCGATCCACGGCCCGACCAGTCAAGCTGGCTGGTGACGGATTCCGGGCCTCAAACACCACGTCAACGCGCGACTTGTTCGACTCCCCTGGCGTAGTTGTCGTGCTTGGGGGTTCCGTAGGCTTGCCATTCTCATCAATCGCCCGAAGAATATGGCTGCGGATCTTCGGCACAGCCAGTCGAAGCTGGCTAATTGCCATACACGGATTCGTTACTGCGGGTCTGATGAACTCTGGAGTCGGCTGTTGGCCCGTGACAGCCGGTTGTTGCTGTGCGGGAAGTAAACCATCTGGTGTAGCTGCAAGAATCGGGGTAGCACCGTTCTGACTTGCGAACGCGACGCGCTTTTCCACATGTCCGTCTTCGTCTCCCTCCAACTGCGCCAATTTCCGCTTGTT